GCAATGCTTGGCAAAATTGCAAAACAGTTAATAACTACTTGCTATCACAGAAAGTGGTAAATGCTCCTCTTTTTGGGAAATAAACCTCTGCTAACAGTGTTGTCTCTTGAATTAGGTCCTTATTTTCACTTTCTGTAGTTCTGAAGCATTTACTATAAGTACATCATGGTTCCCTGCTGCTTTCCTGACTCTGCAGATTACCAATCTGATTGCTGTTTCTCTCCAGTTCTTGGCTCTGGATTCGTTGTTCAGTTTTGCCTCTCTTAGGGGGTTGGAGACATTTGAGAATTACTAATTGAGTGCTGTAACTCAGGGGCACGTCCTTTGGCCCTCCTCAGGTGTCTTTCTCATATCTGAAACGTGCCTTCTTTTGTGCTTTGGCTTGGCCTTTAGCAGATCAAAAGAGGAAGGTGCTTAGGCCTGCCATGTCCTCCCTGTACTGGGTTAGTCATTGCTCTGGTGTTGGTGCATTAACACTTCATAAACTGATCTTGAAAATGAAAAATTAAAGCCTTCTCAGACTTCTAAGTCTGATCACTGATTTGCCTCATGTCTCCACCAAATGACTGCTATTGCACAGCCACTCGGAGGCCTCAGCCCTTTTAGCCCTGCTAAAGTCTCCGCAGTAGCCCATCCCTCAGAGCCATCTATTTACACAACTAGTTTTTTTAATAACAGGAAAAATGAAAGTAGTTGTTAGATTACGGTAGTGGTAATACATAATTTTTCCTGTTTTAAAATTTGTTTTTATTATATCAGTATAACATATATCAGCTTTTTTATTACAAAAGGAATAGAAGACACCGGTATATTACAAATACTATTCATATTGATGAATCAGAATGTTGATTAATATCATTTTGCTATTTAAACCATATGGTATAATGGAAAATTCTTTAAAATGACATAATGGCCTCTGTAGATGGTAAAATGACAATATTCTATAAGGCAGGCTTGACCCAGCAATTTCAGTTCTAGAAAAGTATCCTACTGATATACTTGCCTGTGTGCAGAGAGAGAGACACTCAGGGATAATCACTGCAGCATGATTTGGAGTGGAAGATGGTGGGAAACAAACCAATGTCCTTCAATAGCAGACTGTTTACATAAATTATGGTACATCTATGGAATAGGATAATATGCTGCTGTTAAAATTGAATATAATAAAAACTATAATTATATAATGCAAAGTATGTCACCCTTTACGCACATACCTACTAGTGTATCAAAGTCCTTTCTGCAAGAAACTTAGAGTTGCTTTCTCTGGGGAGAACAGCTAGAAGACTAAAGGATCGTGGAGGTAGAACTTCCTTTTTCCTCTATACTTTTCTATCCTGCTGGATCTTCCTGTCCCTCCTCCCACTATGGGGAGAGATGGGAGAGATGTACTTTTCCTAATTTTTTTTGAGACATGGCCTCACTCTGTAGCCCAGGCTGGAGTGCAGTGGTGTGATCATAGCTCACTGCAGCTTTGACTTCCTGGGCCCAGGCAATTCTCCTGCCTCAGTCTCCAAGTAGCTGGGACCACAGGTGTGTGCCACCATGCCTAGCTAATTTTATACATATATATATATGGAGCTCGGCTCACTGCAACCTCTGCCTCCTGGGTTCAAGCGAAATCTCCTGCCTCAGCCCCCTGAGTAGCTGGGATTACAGGTGGCCAAATATTTTTTAATTAAAAAAATTTTTTTTAATTTTTTATTTTGTAGAGATGGAGTCTCACTATGTTGCCAAGGCTGGTCTCAAGTTCCTGGGCTCAAGCAATCCTCCCACCTAAGCCTCAGGGCCAGGAACTCTTCCTATTCTCTTCCTAGCTGCATAACTTAATTTCTTTTCTAAGGATTTTTTATTCATTTGTTCATTTTCTTTTTTTTGTGACAGCTTTATAGTTTTTATTAAGAGTTGTGCAGCCATAATCACAATCAATGTGAGCATACTTTCATTCCAGAAAAAGAAACCCCATACCTGTTAGCAATCACTCTTTACCTCCCCCGATTCCTTCTACTCCCCACCACCCACCCCAGCCATTCAGTCCCCAGCCTGGGGCAAACAGTTAACTACTTCCTGTCTCTAAAAATTTGCCTATTCTGAACATTTTCTATAAATGAAATCTTACAGTATATGGTCTTTTGTGACTGGCTTCTCATTTAGCATGATATTTTTGAAGTTCATCCATGATGTAACAGGTATCAGTAATTCATTTCTTTTCGTGGCTGAAAATTATTCTCTTGTGTGAATATATTACATTTTATCTGGTCATCTAATGTTGGCCATTGGAGTTATCTCCACTTTTGGCTATCATAAATAATGTTGCTGTGCACATCCTTGTACAAGATTTTGTGTAGTCATACGTTTACATTCTCCATACCTCTGCCTAGATATGGAATTGCTGGTCAGATGATAACTCTGTTTAACTTTTTCAGGAGCTGCCAAACTCTTCTAAAGTGGCTGCACCGTTTTATATTCCCATCAGCAGTGTATGATTCTAGTTTTTCCATATCCTGGACAACACTTGTTATTGCCTGTTGTAGTGAATTATTTTTTTTTTTTTTTCTTTCGAGACGGAGTCTCTCTCTGTCGCCCAGGCTGGAGTGCAGTGGCCGGATCTCAGCTCACTGCAAGCTCCGCCTCCAGGATTACGCCATTCTCCTGCCTCAGCCTCCCAAGTAGCTGGGACTACAGGCGCCCGCCACCTCGCCTGGCTAGTTTTTTGTATTTTTTAGTAGAGACGGGGTTTCACCTTGTTAGCCAGGATGGTCTCGATCTCCTGACCTCGTGATCCGCCCGTCTCTGCCTCCCAAAGTACTGGGATTACAGGCTTGAGCCACTGCGCCCGGCCGTAGTGAATTCTTATAATTTTATGTTGCCTCAGCAAACATTTTAAATCTAAGTTGAACCTTCTCATACCAGAAGCAGGACTGAGTCACCCCGACACAGTTGGCAGTTCCACCTTATTCCCCAGTTCCTCAGTGTGGTTGGTCCAGATATCTGCCTTACACAGCTGCTCTCTGGGGACCGCTTCCCTATGGGACAGCTGGATACAGCCTGCTTGACAGGCCCTTCTGACCTTCACATTCCCCATGGACCATATGCCACAGTGACCACCTCTCAGTCACTGGGTAACCTCCCAAAACTCATGCCTGCTTGCTTTAAACTCACCAGTTAAAACTCCCCATGCTGCCTTTGGGAAACCTGTTTGGATAACACCTGGGACCCATTAAAGACATTGGCTCATGTGTCCTTCCCCTCAAACCACTGCTTCCACCATGTGAGGACACGGGTCCCTTTTCTTTCTCTCTCTGCCTGCACTCCGTGACGTTTGTGTGCTGGCCTCCAGGTATGCCGTGTACTCTCCAGAACCTGTAAGTGATAATGTCTTTATTTCTATCTCATATTTCTCCTAGTTATTGGAGGGGTACTCTCCATCTTAAATATCCTAAATTAAAATGTCTATCTTTCTTAGTATAGCCATTGATATGGGCTGAATATTTGTGTCCCCACCGCCCCCGGCACAATTGATGTATTGAAATTCTAGGCCGGGCGCGGTGGCTCAAGGCTGTAATCTGAGCACTTTGGGAGGCCGAGACGGGTGGATCACGAGGTCAGAAGATCGAGACTATCCTGTCTAACACGGTGAAACCCCGTCTCTACTAAAAAAAAAATACAAAAAACTAGCCGGGCAAGGTGGCGGGCGCCTGTAGTCCCAGCTACTCGGGAGGCTGAGGCAGGAGAATGGCGTGAACCCGGGAGGTGGAGTTTGCAGTGAGCTGAGATCCGGCCACTGCACTCCAGCCTGGGGGACAGAGCGAGAATCTCAAAAAAAAAAAAAAGAAATTCTAATCCAGGTGTTGGTTTTTGAGGGTGAGGACTTTGGGAAGTGATTGAATCAAGGGGGCAGAGCCTTCGTGAGCACAACAGTTTCTTTATAAAAGAGGCCGGGGAAATTTGCTTGCCCCTTCCACCCTGCGAGCACACAGCAGAGAGATGCTGTCTGAGAGAAAGCAGTTCCTTACCAGACCCAGAGTCTACTGGCACCTGCCTCGATCTTGGACCAGCCTCCAGAACTATCAGAAACAAATTTCTGTTATTTATGCACTGTCTAGTTTGTGATATTTTGTTACAGCAGCGTGAACAGACCAAGACAGCCATCATAGTGGATAAAGTGATATCTTACTGTGCTTTTGAATTATGTTTCCCTAATGAGTAACAATAGTATCATTTTATGTGTTTATTGGCCATTCATATATCATCTTTGGAGAAATGTCTATCTAAATCCTTTTCCCAATTTTAAGGGCTATTTGTCTTTTTATTACGTAGTTATATGACTTCTTTATGTATTTTGGATACTAGACCCTTATCAAATACATAATTTATAATATTTTCTCCCATTGTGTGGGTTATGTTTTCACTTTCCTAATGATGTCTTTTCAAAGCATGTATTTCTTTTTTCAAAAACATATATTCTGTACTTTCTTTTTTTTTTTTTTTTTTTGAGATGGAGTCTCCAGGCTGGAGTGCAGTGGCATGTCTCGGCTCACTGCAATCTCTGCTGCCCGGGTTCAAGTGATTCTCCTGCCTCGGCTTCCCAAACAGCTGGCATCACAGGCACCTGCCACCATGCCCGGCTAATTTTTGTATTTTTAGCAGAGACAGAGTTTTACCATGTCAGCCAGGCTGGTCTCGAACTCCTAACCTCAGGTGATCTGCCCACCTTAGCCTCCCAAAGTGCTGGGATTACAGGCGTGAGCCACCACACCTGGCCTACTTTCTTTATTGTGTTGGTTTTGTGAACTATCATTGTTATTAAAATTAAATTGTATGGACTTTACTGCTTTTTGCTCATTCATTATGTAGGAAGCCATGAGTTTAATAAAACGTGGTAGGTGCTGATATCAGTAATCATGCTTTGTTTGACCTCCTTTCATTTCTGGGGAAAAAAAAAAACCCACCTAATTGTTTATACACAATATGTTTAGCTCACATCTCTTTTGGTGTTGCAGGTTGCAGTGCAGGAGGGAATTAACTCAGGAACAGCCATGTCAAGAGGTTTGTATCAACCAGCAACAATCTTTATGGGCCTCCAAATGTCAGCCGTCTCAAGCATGGGAGATTTCAGTACAGAGCACAAATCTCCCCAACCCACAAAGAACTTTTCAATTCCTGACCCACATTCACACCGACAGAGAAGTAATGTGACAGACAGCTGTGTAGTACAAACTAGTAATGACACACAGTGCTTAAATAAGTCTGACAACATAGATGGAAAGGCATCTCTTCAGATTGGTGAGAAAACGCCAGTCACAGCCAGTATATTGTCTGAGGAGGAACAAACTCATTGCTTAGAGATAGGAAGTAACACACGTCATGGCAAGAGTAATTTATCTGAAGGCAAAATGTCTGCTGAACTCAATTCCCCGTTACAGGAAAGATTAAGTCCAGAGAACAGAACCACTGATTTAAAGTGTGACAGTTCCAGCAGATCAGAGGGATCAGAGGGAGAAATACTGACACGGGAACATATTGAAGTTGAGGAAAAAAGAGCCAGCCCGCCAGTCTCTCCGATATCAGTTTCAGAATACTGTGAATCTGAAAATAAGTGGTCTCAAGAGAAGCATTCTCCTTGGCAAGGTGTTTCAGGTGGGATGAGAGGCTGAGTTTGGTTGCTGAGTTTTCTGGGTGGTAGTGATCTTATGTAAGGACAAAATATACTCTCTAATTATCTCTCTTTGTCATAAAATAGTATCTTTGCCAACAAAATCCATTCTAACGAACTCTTAAAAATGTACATGCAAGTGAATTTGCTGATTTTTAAACCCGCTGTGATTTTTTTAAACATTTGAAAATATGTTTAAGCTTTTAAGTTCCGTAATGAATTGCGTGTGGGCTGCTTCTCCGTGTTTTTAACTGATGAGTGATTCTGCTGTGTGTTACCTTGCTTCCCCCTGAAGTCAGTGATTGGTAATCGATTCGTGTCCCCACTTGCAGATCATCTTGCTCACGGGGACCCAAAGTCACAAAAGCCCTTCAGAAAAAAGCAGGAAGAGGAGGAGGAGGAAAGTTGGAGCACCAGCAGTGACCTCACTGTTTCAATAAGTGAAGATGACCTATTTTTAAAGAGCCCAGAACCACAGCCAATTCCAGGCGGCAAGGTGGAGGGAGAAGATGGAATAGAGGCCTTAAAATTAATCCATGCTGAGCAAGAAAGAGATGCCCTATCCACTGAAAAAAATAATTGTATTTTGCAAACCCTAAGCTCTCCTGATTCAGAAAAGGAATCCTCCACTCACACACCAACTAGAGAGTAAGCCATTCAATTTTTTTTTCTACTGTTCTGTTTTTAATTGTAGACATTTCTAGAGACCATTCCACTGGGAATGTATTATTGAGCACTCAGCCATGAATGTGTAAATTCCTTAAGTCTCATAAGTAATCTTTTGGGCAAGACCTAATTTTCTTTCCGTCCTCCTTTCTTCTTTCCTTCCTCCCTTCCTTCTTTCTTTAACAGAAAAGCTTTAAACATTTGGATATAATTGAGTTATGGTGATTGCAGCTTGTAATTATATACACACAATCCCTGGTTAACGTAATAAGTCATTCCCCAACACCCTACTCTCCAGCCTTTCAGAAAATAAATCTGTTTTGAAGTTTTGGTAGCACAGTAGGTGACAGTTAAACTTACTAGGAATGCAGTATTAGAGTCTGAAAACTTTATGTCTAATTAATTTGCTTAATCCTTATATTCCTTGCCATAGTATCATTTTTGTCATCTGATTAAATATGAGTTAATAAGTTCTTCCAATTGTATATATAAGCCAGATTTCCTTTTTTGAATGTAAATAGGAAACATTGGAATCTCTAATGTTAAATGGGAACATCAGTGTTATACATTTTGAGAACTTACATTATCCAACTGATAAAAATTTATATATGCTTTTGTGCTACTGATTGGAGATGCTAGAAGAAAATGTTGTGGAAAGTTCTTGTGTATCTACTGTGTAGAAAACTTGTTAACTGTTGAAAACTGATTCTGTGCTGAAAAATGGCATTAATAACATCAAATCTCTTTTAGGAGTAGAAGGAACCTAAGTAAACAACCTAAGGTAGATCTCACCTTTTACAAATGAGGAAATGAAGGCCGGGGCAGAGTGGTGTCATATAGTTCTGCTGGATCTGCTGGGGCAGAACACCCCGCACCCTGTCTGCCTGAATGTCACACCACTGCCCCACCTCCAGAATTTTCTGTTACATGTAATGCTGGTCACCCTTTCATTTCCACAAAGCTGGCAGGAGTGAAAAGCCAAGTGGGCATTTTTGTATATGAGGACATATGTTCTCTTTTAGAACACCATTGTACCTTTTAATATATTGCCTCTTACCATTCATTGTCTAGTTATGGTGAAAAGTTTATTAATGGGCTTTAATTTATAGATTATATCCAAACTGATGTTCAGGAAATATTTATTAAGAGCATATCCAAGTAAAAGTTCTTGCACCAGGAATGGAAGAACCGACATGGTTCCTGTCTTTGAGAAATTTGATTTATTGGAGAGGCAAGCCAAATGGATTTTTCTAGTAATAATACTTTTATCAAAGGGACACAGGTAATGCATATTACATCATCAGAAACTTTATTACTGGAGATAGAATGTTATCTATCTCTAGTTTTGTGTTTGTGGGCTTATTTTTATGGCATGATGGACCAGTTAGTACTTTGGTAAGCTGACAAGGGGACTAATATACTTACCCAGGACTCAGTCTTTTTCTGAGGTGAAAAAAATTGGGTATGTGTATGGAATTCCTACTTAACATTTCTCTAAGAGTCAAGAATGTTCATTCTGTCTCCATTTGAAAGACTTTTTTAAAATGATCTTGGAGGCATAAAGTCAGGCTCCTTGGAGTTTTGGCATATAGTTTTCCAGTATTTATTGGAAAATATGGGCATGTAGGGAATTTTGAGTATTTTTCTTTTTTCTTTTTTTTTTTTAAAATTTATTTATTATTATTAAACTTCAAGTTGTAGGGTACATGTGCACAACGTGCAGGTTTGCTACATATGTATACTTGTGCCATGTTGGTGTGCTGCACCCATCAACTCGTCATTTACATCAGGTATAACTCCCAATGCAATCCCTCCCCCCTCCCCCCTCCCCATGATAGGCCCCGGTGTGTGATGTTCCCCTTCCCGAGTCCAAGTGATCTCATTGTTCAGTTCCCACCTATGAGTGAGAACATGCGGTGTTTGGTTTTCTGTTCTTGTGATAGTTTGCTAAGAATGATGGTTTCCAGCTGCATCCATGTCCCTACAAAGGACACAAACTCATCCTTTTTTATGGCTGCATAGTATTCCATGGTGTATATGTGCCACATTTTCTTAATCCAATCTGTCACTGATGGACATTTGGGTTGATTCCAAGTCTTTGCTATTGTGAATAGTGCTGCAATAAACATACGTGTGCATGTGTCTTTATAGCAGCATAATTTATAATCCTTTGGGTATATACCTAGTAATGGGATGGCTGGGTCATATGGTACATCTAGTTCTAGATCCTTGAGGAATCGCCATACTGTTTTCCATAATGGTTGAACTAGTTTACAATCCCACCAACAGTGTAAAAGTGTTCCTATTTCTCCACATCCTCTCCAGCACCTGTTGTTTCCTGACTTTTGAATGATCGCCATTCTAACTGGTGTGAGATGGTATCTCATTGTGGTTTTGATTTGCATTTCTCTGATGGCCAGTGATGATGAGCATTTTTTCATGTGTCTGTTGGCTGTATGAATGTCTTCTTTTGAGAAATGTCTGTTCATATCCTTTGCCCACTTTTGGATGGGGTTGTTTGTTTTTTTCTTGTAAATTTGTTTGAGTTCTTTGTAGGTTCTGGATATTAGCCCTTTGTCAGATGAGTAGATTGCAAAAATTTTCTCCCATTCTGTAGGTTGCCTGTTCACTCTGATGGTAGTTTCTTTTGCTGTGCAGAAGCTCTTTAGTTTAATGAGATCCCATTTTTCAATTTTGGCTTTTGTTGCCGTTGCTTTTGGTGTTTTAGACATGAAGTCTTTGCCCATGCCTATGTCCTGAATGGTACTACCTAGGTTTTCCTCTAGGATTTTTATGGTATTAGGTCTAACATTTAAGTCTCTAATCCATCTTGAATTAATTTTCGTATAAGGAGTAAGGAAAGGATCCAGTTTCAGCTTTCTACTTATGGCTAGCCAATTTTCCCAGCACCATTTATTAAATAGGGAATCCTTTCCCCATTTCTTGTTTTTGTCAGGTTTGTCAAAGATCAGATGGCTGTAGATGTGTGGTATTATTTCTGAGGACTCTGTTCTGTTCCATTGGTCTATATCTCTGTTTTGGTACCAGTACCATGCTGTTTTGGTTACTGTAGCCTTGTAGTATAGTTTGAAGTCAGGTAGCGTGATGCCTCCAGCTTTGTTCTTTTGACTTAGGATTGTCTTGGAGATGCGGGCTCTTTTTTGGTTCCATATGAACTTTAAAGCAGTTTTTTCCAATTCTGTGAAGAAACTCATTGGTAGCTTGATGGGGATGGCATTGAATCTATAAATTACCTTGGGCAGTATGGCCATTTTCACGATATTGATTCTTCCTATCCATGAGCATGGTATGTTCTTCCATTTGTGCATGGTATGTTCTTCCATTTGTTTGTGTCCTCTTTTATTTCCCTGAGCAGTGGTTTGTAGTTCTCCTTGAAGAGGTCCTTTACATCCCTTTGTAAGTTGGATTCCTAGGTATTTTATTCTCTTTGGAGCAATTGTGAATGCAGTTCATTCCTGATTTGGCTCTCTGTTTGACTCTGTCACCAGTATAAGAATGCTTGTGATTTTTGCACATTAATTTTGTATCCTGAGACTTTGCCAAAGTTGCTTATCAGCTTAAGGAGATTTGGGCTGAGACAATGGGGTTTTCTAAATATACAATCATGTCAAGCCTGTAAACAGGACAATTTGACTTCTTTTCCTAACTGAATCCCCTTGATTTCTTTCTTGCCTGATTGCCCTAGCCAGAACTTCCAACACTATGTTGAATAGGAGTGGTGAGAGAGGGTATCCCTGTCTTGTGCCAGTTTTCAAAGGAATTTTTCCAGTTTTTGCCCATTCAGTATGATATTGGCTGTGTGTTTGTCATAAATAGCTCTTTATGATTTTGAGGCACGCTCCATCAATACCGAATTTATTGAGCGTTTTTTAGCATGAAGGGCTGTTGAATTTGGTCAAAAGCCTTTTCTGCATCTATTGAGATAATGATGTGGTTCTTGTCTTTGGTTCTGCTTATATGCTGGATTATGTTTATTGATTTGCTAATGTTGAACCAGCCTTGCATCCCAGGGATGAAGCCACTTGATCATGGTGGATAAGCTTTTTGATGTGCTGCTGAACTGGTTTGCCAGTATTTTATTGAGGATTTTTGTTCATCAGGGATATTGGTCTAAAATTCTTTTTTTTGTTGTGTCTCTGCCAGGCTTTGGTATCAGGATGATGTTGGCCTCATAAAATGAGTTAGGAGGATTCTCTTTTCATTGATTGGAATAGTTTCAAAGGAATGGTACCAGCTCCTCCTTGTACTCTGGTAGAATTCAGCTGTGAATCCATCTGGTCCTGGACTTTTTTGGTTGGTAGGCTATTAATTATTGCCTCAATTTCAGAGCCTGCTATTGGTCTATTCAGGATTCAACTTCTTCCTGGTTTAGTCTTGGAAGAGTGTAAGTGTCCAGGAAATTTGAGTATTTTTCTTAATAAAATGCCCCCAGAATGAAAATGTCAGTCAGCAGTGGTTGTTTTTGTGTCTGTATTATCAAATTTGAGCCTACTGATTTTCTGGGTAAAAATATTCTCCAGGAATAGGTCGAAGGTGGTTTTAAATGATGCTAGTTAACTCTGACACTCACTACTTGAGGCCCCACATTTTGTTAATTTATTATTTAGTTGGAGCTCTTCTCCTTTGCTCTGAGGGTTAATTATTAGTCTGAGACATAGCATCATATTTATAGAGCTAACACTATAACCTCAACAGTTCAGTATTTCAGTTGACTTTAGGGTCTGTTGGGGGCCTGGAGAAAAATCACTTGAATGAACTAATTAGCAAAGATGCATAAATGGGAACAAAGAGGACACACAGGAGCATATGATCTGGAATGTAGAATCTGCATAACATCTTTGAAGTCTGTATAGGCTTTGAAGGAGGAAGAGGAGGGAAAGAGCAAATAGGGTCTGGAGAAAATAAGAAGGAATGCAGAGCAGAGAACACAGAGGACATGGGAGGGGCTGAGCAAAGGACCG